TATGTGAGTCAAGGCAGGTGAGCAAATACTTTTGGCAATATAGTGTATTATGAGAAAAAGCAGAGAGAGCATTACATTAGAGATTGAACTAACAGGTTCAGCAGAGTGGAAGATTAGAGATAGAATGAAGCAAAATGATGAAATGGGGGTCCCTATGTCCTCCAGAAGTCTAAGCCTATAGCAGCATAACTATAAAGATAGCTCAGGATATCCTGAGCCACTCTAACTATAAGCTTTATCAAAAAGGAAAGTTTTAAGCCTAGTCTTAAAAGTAGACATGGTGTCTGCCTCACGGACTAAAAACTGCTAGTTGGTTCCACAGGAAAGAAGCCTGACAACTAAAATATCTTCCTCCCATTCTACTTTTAGAAATTCTAGGAACCACTAGTAAACCTGCAGATTGAGCAACGGTATCAGTCGATCTCTAATAAGCAACATTCCTTAATAAAATAAACACAACAGATTTTTCCACTTAGACAAATAATACAATGCACAGCAATTTTCTGCTTCATAAAATCACAATAAAAACGCGTTGTAGTCTGTGGTTGTAAAATATCCAAATGTATAAAATTTAAGGTGTTTTAATACTTTGTGAAGTGGGTGTTGCTCGTTGTGAAGTCAATGCCTCCAGTTGAAGGAATGTGTCGCTTGTACTTGGCTCCGCAGGAGAATCAGAGGAGGCAATGGCTGCCAGTGCTCTTGACTCCAATATCCAGCATACCGCTGTGGTCAACGAAAGTGGCCAGAGAGTCATCACCATTGTGACGGACCAGCACGGCAACCTTCAGACTACAGGAGGGATGTCCCAGCCCTTTTTTGTCACCATGCAGCACGGGCAGCAGAGTACGGCACAAACTGCATCCTTTCCAGAGCGTTAGAGGCTGCGAACGCTTTATGTAACCACAGTTTGTTTGTTGGTTCTCAGTGCTTGCTGTGCCGGCCAACACGGTGACAGAGGAGGTAGTGACGGAGGAGCCTCAGCCTCCACCTTCCAGGAAGAGGAAGTTAGAGGTGACCAACAACCACAACGACACGGGAGAAACTGTGAGTACTCAGTGATTCTGTTCAGTAAACTACGACTTCTGCATTTTCTGCTTACTTATTACATTTTAACAGCCTTATCACAAAGTCAGACAAATTTACAGTCACGGTTTTCTGTTTGCTGTGATTTTTAAACAGCATATTTTATTTCAAAATGGTTAACTTTTAAGAGTCTACACAGGTAATTACTGTGTGATATTGAGGTAGAAACTGTGCATAATAAGCATTGTTACATTCAAGCTGATTTGGCAAAGTTTCTACCTCAGTTAAATAACATGTTGCTGCCATTTTTGCACATCTCTGATGTTGCTGCTATTTTCAAATATCCATTACTGTAAAAAAAAAGTCCATAGCTTCATATTGTTTTTTTATTCTCCAGGTGCAGTTTTATATTGTTAAAACAATTTACAGTACAGTATTTTATTGTTTATCGTTTAACTCTTCACTATTATGTTATTCTTATACATTTTTCTAAGGTCCACATTTGTGTGATAATTTTTTTTTCTATAATCTTTTTGCTGCTTTAAACACCAGAATTTCCCCATTGTGGGACAAAAGAAGGGATTTTTGTATTCTGTTCTACTCTAATACTCTTCCAACCTGTGTAAGATTAAGCCTTTTTTTATTAAACGTGAGAACATAAAGGTTAAATAAAATGTGACCAAGTACAAGACCTTGTGGAACACCAAACCTGACTTAGATGAATGTGAATACAAACCTGTTAGATATTTATAGGTTAAACTGCTTAATTTCTACCATAAATAAGTTTCCTTTACATCTTACTAAAAGATGTAAAGGAAAAATAAATTGTCACAAAGATCTTGTGGAAAACTAAAACTAACTGATGAATGCGGAGGTCACATCGTAAACGTGAACCTAGTGGATCATGACAGATGAGTTTGAATTATCTGGAACTGATGGGATTTTCTAGTTTGGTTTCAAATTAACCAACTTGCTTCTGATTTATTCCTGTATTTCATCAGTTCTGATTTACGTATAATTTGTCCTCCATCTTTAGGAGTTGCTGCAGAGACAACTGCTGGAAGCAAACAGGAAGGCTCAGGAGTATCGCCAGCAGCTCCTCCGTAAAGAGCAGGAAGCCGAGGAGTACCGCATGAAGCTGGAAGCCATGGCTCAAAGTCAGGCCAACACCAGCAACGGCGGCACTGCCGTCAGCGCCGGAGCCAACGCCGCCAGTCCGGAGGAAGTGGTGGGAGGGGAGGATGAGGAGGAGGGAGCTGCCAGCGTGGTGGAAGAGGAGGGAGAGATGGTGGTGCTGCAGGAGGGAGGCATCATCATGGAGGGGGAGGAAGGTCAGGTGACGCTTGTGGAGACGGGCGGGGAGGCGACGCAGGTCAGCTCCTAACGGAAGAGGGTTAGGAGCGGGGCGACGCATCGTAACAGGAGGCGGCCGATTAGACTCTGCATTTAATTGACATGGAGAGGAAGGAGCTGACTCACCGCGGGGAAATAATGTGTTTAGAATATCCCCAAATATCCGAAACAAAGAAGCTCAGTGGAGAGTGATGGACCAACCAGGATGATGTAGTTCAGCTCTGCTTAATTTGAAATTCCTCAATGGCTAGATGGTAACAGATCAGGTAGACATTACGGACAACTCCAGTTGACACGCCTGTTCCTTTCTTCCTGAACGTGGTCCAACAGAAAGGGAAAAGATGCATGAACCATCAAGGATCAGTACAATAGTTTTCTCTACTTTGTCATCTGCCGGCGAACAATAACCTGGACGGTGATGGGAGGAGATGCAAGGAGACAAAGATTTACGTTCCATAACCATCGCTACGACAACATCCTGCTTCCCTGTTGGAAATGTGACACAAAAGAAGCTTAGGCTTTTAGTTTGTCCTTTGTTACAGTTGCTTCCTCATTCTGATGACTTTGAATGACTCAATCATACCCATTTATTTTATTTTTCTACATACATTATGTTTAGTATTTGTCCGAGTTAGATTTATAGTCATTTTCTCCTTGTTTTATGGCTTCATAACTGATCTAGTCAGCTTATCAGAAAAATCTTTGCAGTAATTGGAAACTACAGTGGTTCCTGCTTTACTGATCCTCATAACAGAAGCTTTCACTCACTCTGTTCTTTGGATGCTTTCTGGTGGGATTATCTTTGTCATTTAATTGTGAACCCTACGCCCCGTCACACGACCCTTCTGGACTGGTTAAATGGTGGGCAGCTTTCCTCACCTGCTCCAACATATTTATATTCATGTTAACCAAGAAGGTGAAGCTGAAATCTGTAACAACAAATATGAATCATTGTGGTTCCTTCTGGTTCATTTCTAACTCCTTTTTTCAATCACTCCTATAGTCCATATCTGTTATTATATCAATAATGCTCTAACTTTAAAACTATTTCATCTGACGGTGCCAAGATGTCAATTTGGTAGTTTTACAGTTATTTTATTATATGTTTAGGCAGGAAAAAACATTTACATACAGTTTAAATGTTTGAATAAACCTGAAGTTATTATATCTGAAGGAATGATTGCAAAATAAATTAAAAGAAATCTCAGTAGTAGATCAGCAAACTATATTAATGGTTTACACTTGACCTTTTAATGCGGATTATTCACAAAATGACTCTGAAACTGAGGTTGGAGGTGAAGACAGGAAAGTGATTTAAAGCAGGAAAGGAGAAAAATACTGAATATCCTCGATCTATTCGTCCATTCTCCACCTTATTGTCGATTCATATGCAACTCTGCAGTTTAGTCTGTTAGTTCTCCTGGAAATGACAATATAGAGCTTCTATTGGCTTATTTTCACCTCTACAAAGGATTCAGTCATTTCAAAGAGCCTTGATGGTAGATGAATCATTAACATCTGCTGTAATGTGGGTTCATTTACATTTGTTAAAGCAGTTTGCTGCTTGTCAGCAGGCAGATCACTTTCTTGTGATTTATATCAGAATGTAAAGCATGCTGTTAATAACATCTTGAACCAATAATTGTGGAAGCTCTAATTTTTGGATTAGATGAACTGGGAAATTTAAATCATTCGGCATTTAATCTGCTGATCAGAGCAAATCAAAGAACAATTATCCAGTTCTGATCTCTCTCTAGATAAATGATGCATCTGTTTAAAACATGGTCCTCGATGTTCTCTGACTGGTTTCTGTCACAAACTGTTTATGTCTGCACGATGTGTTAAAAACATGCTTGAATTGATGTAATTGTGCAGAGAAAAAAGCACTGCTGACTTTTTCAGTCAAAGATGTTTTGACGTTTTTATGACGAGTGGAATGTCTGAATCTACAGAAACCATTGAACATGAAATGAGGGAGCAGGTTAAAGTTTGCTGGTAGATGAAGAATCCCCAGAAGCCAAACACAAGCTCATCTGGGGAGATTCTTGTCAGAAATGTTGGTGAACTTCACTGTGCTCACAATGATCACATGGATTCCCTCAGCTGCCCGTCACCCCCTCTTTTTCTTCTTTAACCTGAGACCAGCTGTTGTTTGTGTTACAGTTATTTTTATAAGCTTTGCAAAACCAACCCTTTTCTATGTACATAAAAAGTTGTATTTTTTTAACTTTACCTAATGGCTTCTCTGTGACAATGATGGCTGCCTGCATTTAAATATAAACTTCATGTCTTTTTGAAGAACGTCTTTGTTGTGTCTGAACTTTCAAAGCAAATTACTCTTCAAAGCATCCTTTATTTATGAGTTAACTAGTTTTTGGAGCACAGTATAGCTCTGCAGTTTAGTGTTGGTCATATTTTTGTAAGTGTATATATAAACAAGTACATTTCTGATTTCTTTTTTTACTTATTCGTATATTTTCTTTTCTAATAAACTGGCATTTAAATCAACACAACATATGGTAGGACAATTTATAAAGAATAAAATCCCTTTTCAGATGGCATACATTAAAACGATAGAGATTTTATATAGGCTTCTTTTTCTGAAACATCAAATTATTTTTTACTTTTGGGTCAAGCTTGATTATTTATTTAGATTGTATTTCAAAGTTGAATAGTTATAAAACTGCCAGTGCTTTTTCAAGCCCATGGCATCACATGTCCTGTACCATGCCTAAGTGGGCAAGACTTGTTTTTCTGCAAATGTATCCTTTGTTTTCAGCTAACCCCCCTTTTTTGGCCAAAAATCTGTTGCTTATAGATCAATAAAAGTCCCCCTAGGCTTTTGACATAAACTCACCTTTATTTACTCACATTGATTTTAGCAAAAATAAACATGTTTACATTTGTGATGGTAGGACAGAAAAGGCTACTTTCCCCCCCTGACATTGTTCCCAGTTTTTTTCACAGAAAGGGTTTTTTTGTTTTTCTTTTTAACTAGCAATATAAAAATAGGTGTTCATCAGCAGCTAGTGGTTTATAAACTCTTGCCTATGTCATGTGACATCGATTTTTAGTTATAAATTAATTATCAGTTCTTAGAAACTGATAATAAAAAATATGTATTAGGTCAAAAGGTTCAGATATATTATTTCTACAAATGATTATAATTCAACAATTGAGCAGTAAGGAATATATTTTTTGCATAATAGTTTACTTCGCTACTTGATTTGTTGAGAGATTATATTATAATTCATAAAAAAAAAACACAGCTAAATTATTAATTCAAAATTATAATAATTTATTAAGAGATCAGCAGCCTTGCTTTGACAAAATTACAATAACACCCGCTTTCAGTACTACAGCTCCTACGCCTGCTAAGCCACACAGTAGAGGATTATTACGACGATGATCGTGATTGACATATCTACCGCCCAATCAAAAGCTATCAAAACAGGGCCGGCCCAGCCCCCCATCATTATGTGGGCGGGGCTTTATTGGAGGGGGCAGGGCGCAAGTTATCATGGAGGATCAGTAGGCAACTTGCGGCCAGAAGAGAAGGGCAGCTCCCGCTCTGATCCCCTGGACTTTACTCAACTGCGCTCCGCTCTAAAACAAACCCACCAACAACCACTTTCAAACATGGATATGAAGAAGAGGATTACTTTAGAGCTGCGGAACCGGAGCCCAGCGGAGGTAAGCGACTTATTCCGTAATAAGAGGGTAATTGTTGTCCGTGATGCGCGTCCGGAGCCCGGACCCAGCCGCTCGCCTTTCAGCTCTCACTTCCATGATTTACTTAAGATGGACTTACCGTCTGTTAAACTGTTTATATTAAGACGCTGATAAGGTGAAGTGGAGCCTAGTTTGTAAAGGGTTTTTTTCAGTCTGTTTGCAGCATCCCCTGGGTTGCTCGGTTGTACCGCCCCCCCGCTTCTCCTCTCCGTTAAATTCCGTCTCTCACTCCGACTCAACGGTCGATACGCGCTGCTAATTCCCTTAACTTGTTCTCCTATAACACAAACTTTCCTCTTATTTCGGCTGCTCGGTGAAACTTTATTTAAAGAATAAATATTTTTAGCGTTTAGCCTTTTTTAGAGTACAGCGGAGGTAAACAACAACTCATCTGATGTCCGTTAGACTCCCCGTCCTTTCCGAGCGGACATTTTTAAGTCACCGACACTTTAAACTTCGACGACATTGTCTAACGGAGGACTTTCTTTCAACAGGTCCGGTTACGCCATGTCTGAAAATGATTCATTGTCGTATTGTGTTTGTTTTTCGGGTCATGTTTTCGCGGTGGTTTCGGTTCGACCCGAAGCAAAGGTCGGACACAGGCGGAGCGGCGCTCTTCACCGAGCTACGGAAAGCGGATTAGCCTTCGTGTCCAGCGGAATTTTTAGACGACGACGGAGAAAAATGTCGACGCTGCGAGTCCGTGACCTACAGAAACCGGTCAAAACGAGGCTGCGTTACACCGCGACCCCCCGTCACGGTAACGGGGTTACAAGTAACGGCCTTTACTCCCAAAGCCTTTAAAGGAAATGAGATTAATGTGGCTCCTTTAAAGCTCTGAAGGCAGACATTTATGTGTCCGGCTGCGTCGTCTGTTTCCATAAACCAGGACTTTAGAAAATACAAAACTATGTGTGGATTATGTAACCAAGTCAGGTTAAATAATACTCCCAGGTTAATTTGAACAGATGAAACGCTGCGGTCATGTTTTATAAATTGGGGGAATCCGGCAGATGGTTAATGCAGAGCCACCTCCACCTCCTCCTCCTCCTGCAGCGCTGTGCATGCAGATTACAGAGGGTTAAACCCTGCACAGATGATGATGGAGCTGCAGGCTGATGCTCTGCTCAGGCTCTCACGTTATATAAGCATGGAAGACCAAAGGACTCTGGGAAATAAAAGCACCTACCAGTAATCTTTCATAAAATTTGACTGATTTAATTGTTTAATCATTTTTTACTTCTTAACAATGTAATAATATATAAACGCATAGTAGTAAAACCTTTAGTTAACACTTGGCATGTTCTTTTAAGTCCTAATGAAATGCAAATTACAGACTGAGAATGATACAATTTATAGAAATCACTGGGTATAACTTCTAGCAAACACATTCCTGACGTTCCGGCACCAAGGAGATGATTCGTTCATGGACATCTGGTCGAGCTCTGAATTCCTCTGACTTCATTTCTGATAAATTAAACACTTCTAACATGTTTGAATTGCTCTGGATTATTGTCATACGCAATACAGGTATTTCTGAGATATTTAGTAATCTTGTATAAATTCAGTTTAGGTTCTTTATATAGCGCCAATTCACAACACATGTCATCTTAAGGCACTTTACAGTCACCAGATCATGCAGTCAGATTGATTCACGGTTTTCTTTCTAAGGAAAACCAGTTGATTGCATCGACTCATTGACTGGAATGCAATCCCTCACACTAAGCATGCTTGTAGCCACAGTGGAGAGGAAAAACTCCCTTTTAACAGGAGAAACCTCCAGCAGAACGAGGCTCAGTGTGGGCGGCCATCTGCCGAGGCCGACTGGTGTTCAAAGAGATGGAAGCAAGAGATACGAAAAGCAGCTGTAAAAGGCGCCCCCGTCCAGGAAACACACAGCCAGGCAGTTGGGCTTTGAGCCAACTCCTATGTCAGAGGATGAAGAGAGCACATCCAGCCAGTCAGAGAAACATCTATATTCAAAGGTGTTGATGGCAGCAGCACAGCTGATATTTCTCTCCAGGATGGAGTCACAGCCAAACAGGAACAGACGAGGCAAAGCTACTATTAGAAAAAGCAGAGAGAGCAGGACGTTAGCGATTGTTCACAGTTTTAGTTTAGGTTTACCTCCATTGGATAGATAAGTTAATGTTTAAGTAAAAAAAAAAAAAAAAAGATGAAAATGATTTGTTTTTATTATAACCAGTAGGGGGCAGCATAACAGATCACCTCACAGCAGCTCATCCTTATGCCAAACTGTCTCACTGACTACCTGCATCCCAATTTCCTCTCTGAGGTGTTCCTCTTTTTTGCCCCATCTTCACAACATCTGGTCCCATATCTGCCTCATCTGCAAACAATCAGTCTTTTCTCTGCATCTGTTTGTCTGAGCTGTTCCTCTATACTCACATTCAGACCCTCCTTTTGCCACTGCTGCCATCTCAAAATCACACCTGATGTGATGTCAGCCTTTCCCCTCTACTCGTTTCCCCCTTTCGCCTTGGTTTTGCTCTGCTTTTCATTTTTGGGAAAATTGATCCTGGATACTTTAACTTGTTTTCCTTCAGTACTTGTAGTCATTGCAAATTTAGGAAAAATCACTGTGTCATCTGCAAACGATATAATCCATGGGGACTAATGTCTGACACCAGCTTCTGTCCTTTCCATTGCCATCACAAAGACCTAGGAATGATCTAAATGTAGTTTACCTAAAATACATAAATAGTCATTTTTATACTCAAGAAGCAGAATAACCATGATAAATACATTTTACATGTACATGCAGTATGAACAAATTTATTTACTTTACTATCTAATGCCCATGACTTTTCCTTTTCTTCGTTATAGTTATTTTCTGATCAGTTAATATATTTAATTGAATAATTAAAAATTAATTGATAATATAATCAGGTGGACCAGTTTAGGTATTTATTAATAAATTTACAAATGAATATCATTGCTTTTCCGACTCATCTCCATTCCATTTTAGATAATTTCTGCGAGATCCCAAAAAAAAAAGACTCAACTAGCATCCATTTTCTGCAGTTAAAAAGTGGTTGAAAAATAAACATTTAAAAAGAATGATGATTTAGGACAGTATTTGATGAAAGCACCCTTTGCGTTTCAGGTCGTGGAGCTGGTGGTGGACAACAGTCGGTCAGCTGATGGAGAGGTCGAGGGTCTGACGGACGAGTTCACAGAGCTGGAGTTTCTCAGTGTGGTCAACGTGGGTCTGAGCTCACTGGCGAAGCTGCCTTCGCTGCCCAAACTTCGTAAGGTGAGCCTTCCTTAACAGTCAGATGAACTTAAAAAAGGAGACCTTGTAATTCCAAAATAGACGTCATTGTAATCCCACCAATCTTAGATTTTAAAATCAAAAGTTATTTTAGACTTAAATGCAAGCTGCGAGGATTAATTAAGCTACATATAAATCTCTACAGATTTATATTGTAGAGTTTATATGTGTGTGTACTATAGATCTACAGATCAGATGGAAAGTGTGAAGATGGGAAGTGTAGTTCACCAGTTGATCCAATAGGTGTCACCATCGTGTTCGTTTTAATAAAATGAAAATAAGCGGTGACTGTAGGCACTATTGAAAGCATCAATGAATCTGCAACACAATAACACAGATATATTATCAAACTTCCAGATAATAGCTCTTAGCATGAGGTTTGTATTGAACACATTGGAAGTAGAAAATATGTTTTATTTTTATCTCTTTTACTGGTAACATGACAAATATAAGCTTTAGTAGACTCAGGTTTGACGTTTCCTTGATCAATGTGGCTGTTTTCCTGCTTCCATAAATTGGACCTTCTCATTTTCTCCCTCTTAGGTTAAGATCTATATATTTCCACATTATTTTGGAAGAATTTTTCTTAAAATAAAGCTCTTCCTATGTTGTTTCACAAAGTTCTGGACTTTCTTTTCTCCCATATTCAAACGACATGATTTATTTATTTATGCATTCATTTACTAATTTATTGTTATGTGTTTGACCCCTGCTTCCCAGTCAAAGCAGCATTAAATTATTAGGCATACGATGTTTATTCCTGAGGTTTAAGGGTCACCCTAACCCTAGTGTGTTCATTCAGTCGGTGTTGCATCCACAATGGGCTGCTGTTTTGACATTTTAGCTAAATTTCTGAAATGTTTTTTGCTCATCTTTAACTCCGTAAAGCACCGGTCCATCTATTTTAACAGATTCTCTTTAACTCAACTCTCTTTCTTATCCCTCAGTTGGAGCTGAGTGACAACAACCTATCGGGGTCTCTGGAGACTCTTGCACAGAAATGTCCCAACCTGACCTACCTCAACCTGAGTGGGAACAAGATCAAAGAGCTGAGCACGTTGGAGGCGCTGGTCAGTGTCTTCAGTTAGTCTGATTTATTTAAGGTTTAAAAGAAATTAATGTTACTGTTTGAAGATACTTACTTTATACGGTGTTTTATGATTCACAGCAAAACCTGAAGAGTCTGCAGAGTCTGGATCTGTTTAATTGTGAGATCACCTCTCTGGAGGACTACAGGGAGAGCGTGTTCGAGCTGCTACCTCAGGTGACCTACCTGGACGGCTTCGACCAGGAGGACAACGAGGCCCCAGACTCTGAGGCCGACGACGATGGTGAGAGAACGAGCTCACAGAAACGACTCAGCAGTCGCTGTCAGCTTGGCCCGAGTTCAGTGGTGGTCTCTGTTCACAGACGAGGACGGCGAGGACAGGGCGGGGCCGACCGGGGATTACGGAGAGGAGGATGACGAAGAAGAGGATGAGGATGGCTCAGAGGGAAGAGAGGTGGGGCTGAGCTTTCAGGTGAACCAGGCCAATCAGGTGGGCAACTTAGCAGAGAAACAGCAGGATTGGTAGCAGTCCCCACCCCTCTCCCTCCCTCCCATCCCATCATGCATCAGGGCTGGATCAGACAGAGAGCAGAGTTTCTTCTGGACTGAAGTTCAGTTCTCTGGCTGGTTGGATGAGTTTAGTCGACCCCGTTCAGCACCAAAACGACCACCTCTGACAGCACGCTGTTACTGCCTCCCTTAGAGACGCTTCCTGAAAGGTTCTATTAGATTTGCCACCATGCTTGTTGCATCACTGCGCGTCAGAGTTGGTCTTAAGGATGTTGGCTCTGTCTCCTTGTTGTTCTAGCCACTAGATAAAGAGCATCATTGTCTCATCTAAACGCTTTCAAAGAACATTTATAAACCTGCTCCCCTACATTTTTTTGTTCTTCAGGATTACGAAGATGAGGATGACTATGCAGACGAGGAAGGTGAGGATGTTGCAGCTAATTCAAGGCTGAATCCTGAAGAAAACCTGACAAAACTATTAACATCCCCTAATATTTTTCCCTTGTTATTGCATTGCAACCATAAGCTTTACTTGTTTCAGCTATAATTGAATGAAATAGAAACAGATCAACACAAATGACAAGGTGTGGCAGGCATTTATATTCCGAATCAGAGTCATCATGATGTTAGCCATTAGCTGGATGGAGGACAAATAGGGACAAAATAAATAATGATGTCCCAAGAAATAGATGAATATACTGTATAATGGATAAACACATTTTAAAGTCCTGCTAGGTAATAAAATGTACATTTTATGTATTAAATACATTAGTAGATTACCTTTGAATTAGAAAATGTACCAATTATTGGTTAAATACATAATTTTGCTATATGTTTTTTCATGACGTGGATGGCATGTCTTTAGGGCTTTGCCTAGGCACCAACAGTGGCTGAAATGCTGTGCTCCTTAAAATCCAGATATAATATATACATTTTAAAGGACCTGTATGTCATCTGTCTGCAGAGGATCTGCAGGGCGCTCAAGGAGAAAAGAGGAAGAGAGACGTAGATGACGAAGGCGAGGAAGACGACGACGATGAAGACAACTAGTCCTTCTGATGGCCGTCGCCTGTGTGTCGTCCTGCCCCATCTCAGTCCTCCTCTGGACCCAACCTCCACCAAGCAGCAGCAGCTGCCGTTTGCTGCGTCCCAAGATAGTTGGTTTCAGTTTGTTAGAGAGTCACTTGTTTTCTAGATAAAATTATATTTGTAGGGAAAGAGATATTATGTGAACTTTACCTGTTGGTTCCAGCTGAAGACTTCACACGTTTCCCTTTAAAAAAAAAAAAACCTGCTTCAGGGTCAAACTGGTGTCCGTCTGGTAAGCCGAACCCCGTCGCCGGTCAGCTGGAGTTCTGCTTCCTCGTCGCGACTTAGAGCACAGGGAATCATCTGAACTGGTTTCATTGCGAACTTCAGGGAGAACATTTTGAATCCAGTGCAGAGTGGAGAGCTGTTCAGTCCCACATTGAGACAAAAATTAGAACTGTGACAAATATCCACATTTAGGCTTTTAAAGTTCTTAACCGAACGTTGGCGGTAAAGATCACAGCAAACAGCTGAATCCCGTCTAAGCTACAGAAATGATAAAATAAGATTCCTTCAATTAAGTTTATTTACAATTAATTTCAGTAGGTAAATAAGATCATTTGCCAATGGAATGAATATTTTTACTCTTAAAATAAGACAATTAGATAATATGCACTTGAAATAATGTGTAATTATTTTATGTTATTATAAATGTATATTGTCTTGTTCCAATGGCAAAGTGTTTAACTTACCTCCTCAATTCGAGACAAAATTGACTTGTTTAAATAAAAAATTACATATTTAGATTTAAATCTTTTGCAATGTGAGCTTCAGAAATCATCAAATGTTTCTGTTAAATAATAAAATCCTCCCAGTTGAACCTGACAGCAGACTGGGACTGAGCAGGTCTATTTACCTGCACTGTTTTTGTTTGTCTTTAACTGGATTGATTCATTATTCCTTTCCAGTTACTCTGACTCTTTTATCTGTCCAGCTGTTTGGGAACCTTAAATTCTTCTCTCACTACATGCTTTTTTTTTTGTTGTGAAACCTTTAAAGTTGTCCTGTTTTAGGTGATCCTCCTGAAATTTCAGAACTACAGACTTTATAGAGAATCTATAAATAGCTGACTGGCACTGCAGCTGGTCCCCCTCCGTTTCACTGGTTCCTGTCAGAACCTTAGAGCCCTTCAGGGAAGTCGTCAGGCACGTAGTTTAAACCGCATCCTCTCCTCTAGTGATCAGTAGGCCTGCTGTTCCTCAGGTCCTGTTGTTTCAGTGTGAGTTTGACTTGTATGTTGTTTTTTGTGATAGCAAGGGAGTGGAAGGAAGTGATAGATTTGTGGATTTAATTTGGTTTGTGTGTTTTTTTTTTTTTTTTGGTAATGTTTCTTTCATGGTTTATGTGTTTATGGATCAGCAGCTGTTAATGTTTTTAAAACAAGCAGCTCCTTTTTAAGAAAAATTATCATGTTGTAACAGCTCAGGCTCCGCCCACTTCTGATTCTCAGATTCAAACATCCTAGATTCCTGATAAATGAAATGAAATATTGTTTACATTTCGTTAAGGTCTTGATAAGTTTTAAAGACTATTTCTGGACTTTATTGCCCATTTCAGTTTTTAAATCTTTGTTCTTTTCTCATTTCCTTTATTCTATCCTTCCTTACATCTGTTCTTCCTTTCTTGCTTCTGTCCGTTTGTCGTCCTTATTCTCTTTCTTCCTGATTCCCTTTGCTGCTTTTCTCAATCCTGTCTTGTCTTTCCTTTTCCTCTTCCCTCCTTCCTTCCTATCTGTAATAAACCTGTTTCCATCCTTTCTTTTTAGCCTAATTCTTCTTTCCTTTTGTCATGTTTTCCTCCCCTCTATGCGTTTAGTCTTTACTTCTCTTCTTTACATTCTTTATTAGTTGTTTCCCTCTTTTTTCCCTCCTTTTATTTGTCTTTTTCATTTTTTTCATCCTTTTTTCTTGCTCTCTTTTGTCACTCTTTCTACCCTACCATTTCTTTCTTTCTTTCCTTTTTTTTGCAGGTTTTGTATTTTAATCCTACCCTTGAAAAATCTGCAGTAAATACAAAATGAATTTACCGGTACATTCTTTTGAAATGGGCCAGAAACACATTAAGAGCTCAGCTAAGATAAGTCTGGATTTAGGATGTATTGGAAGCCTGGACTTAAAAAAGGGAGACATATTTGTTTTTCAGAGCTGTCATTTTAAATCAACATAAGTTCAACCTGCTGTTTGACTTTTTGTCTGTCATTTTGTTATTTTTATGATCTCTGACAGATCAGCATTAACAGTGTTCATTAAAATCTATTTATTATGAATTCAGTATGCAGTCTGGATTTATTTGCTCATCTACTGTTTTGACCTTTTTTGTGCTGTTGATTTCTGGGTAGAGATGCAACATACAGGAGGGGAGATTCAGCAGAGTGAGAAATATGAAACAAGTCCATGGCTGGACCTGTTGGCATAAAAACAAGATGGCTGTTGACCACACTGTAGAGCTCTCTAGTTTGTAGCTGATTTAGATTGCTCTAAATCATAAAAACAAATTGAAGTGCAAAGTGTAATGAGCTGATGTTAGGCAACTCTGATGCCCTTTTTTTTGGGATATAGTACAACATGCTCTGGATTTTGTAATAGAATAACGAAATTTAAAAAATACTAAATGCATTATCCTTTAATCCATACATTCATTATCTTCTGCTTATCTGATATTAACATCTGAGGTAACAGATCTTCAGTTGATCCCTCCTCCCCCTGCAGGACATCCAAACCTTTTTTTTTTCTCCTAAACTAAAGGAATAGAGATATTTCTTTCACTTTAAACATATTGGTATTTACTTTTCTGTCTTCTATAGTTCACCATTTAGGTCTGAGATGGACTTTAAAAAAACTCCAAAAACAAGTTAAAGAAGTCAAAATGAGAATATTTGGAATGAAATAACCAATAAATAAAAAAATCTGTAAATGCAACAACTATTACACCACAGAACCTGACTTTGTTTATACATGTTTTTAAAAAAAATCTTTTGATTGCATCGTTTCTTAAATAGTGATGCAGGATGTAGTTTTAATGCATTTGAAAATATAGGAGATTTGTCCTATTTAAAGTCCACAAGAATGTTCATGTTTTTCAAGCCCCTCAAAGACTCTCAACTTATGAAATGTCAATAAAAACCTTGTTTTGATTCATTTATAACCCAGAAAGGTGCTTTTAAAATTGTTTCACTTATCAAGACTTTCTAGATGCAATGTTTTAAAACAAAATGGTTATGTTTCTATTAAATTTATCAGTAAAGTTGGGTTTGACTTACGTTAAGTATGATAGGTTTTGAATTAACAAGAAATAAATACACTTAATAAGAGTCATCATTCAGGGGTAGCTGTTACTGTGCTTATGCACTATACAGTATATGAACATACTTCTAAGTAGGGAAACATATTTGTACCATGAGTATCATGAATCTTCTTTTAATTAGGGATTGGTGGGTCTGAATGTAACACATAAGGAACTTTACAAAAAACAACTTGCATAATAACTAGTTGTTTTGAAGGCTAGTGGAAAATTCAACAGAATAAACTGAATCACTCACCCATCCAATCAGAGGCTCATCCGTCTGTGATGCAACCCAATCAGCATCGGACCACAATTCCACAAAGTCCAGTCTAAATTACATTTTAATTGACTGCTACCCAACCTAGCGTCTGCTAAGTTGGCCTGCAATATTGAACTGTTCTTGGACGTCCTTGATTGAACCCTCCTCCATCTCCTTCTCCACCTCTGCCACAAGCTGCATCCGTCCCCTTCTTCACTCTGCTGCTGCCTTGTTCCATCAGATGATTCTGGATTGACTGCATTCATGAGGCACGCCCAGTCGGTCGAGCAGAAGACTGCCATGTTTAGCCTGGTTCTGATTCCCAAGGGAAGTTTTTTTTTCTCTCCACCGTCACCCCATGCTTTCTCAATATATAGGTTCATATGAACCTGTGCCTCATTCCAGCTGCCATCCACCTCCATTCTTTCCCAGTTCCACCACCAGTTTCAGGATTCATCCTCACTGTCATTCTTCAGTTCATCCCTATAATCAGAGTGGATTTAAGTGCTGATGTTTCCTACTGAGGTTTGAACACTAAAGTTTTAAATACTGTATCAAATTCTTCTAATTGCATTATTTGAGTGAGTTTTTTTAGGTAGATATTAATGCAATACACTTGTTTCACCTTTTGAGTCAAACTGCAAAACTTTATATATTCTGTAGTTTCAAAACTATCCTGCAGGGGGCAATCTTTTCTTCCCTTTGATATCTTCCTGCTGAGTTTTAAGTAATGCATTCATTCAATCATTTAAAAAGATATATATTTTAGTTAAGCCTAATAGACAAAGTGAAGAAAAATTTCCCATATTTAGTTCTTTTATTCTATTAGATCAAAACTAAATCAAGCTCCTTTCATGTCTTCCCTTTTACTCTCTTGTTTTGCTTTTGCAATGTTTGATCAGCTGTTTGTCTCTCCCCTGATAATACATCCCTGACACAACTGTTCAGGAACAAGAGGAGAGATCGGTTTGAAACCAGCCAGATTAAAGCAGGAGAAAAGGAAATAAGGAAAGGAATCTAGGAGGTGAGATCAGGGCGCTCCCTGTCATGACCTCCATTGCCCAACCCCCCTTTTTCTCCTCCTCTTGATCCACTTTGTGGAATTTAAACAGCTCAGATAGATAAATTGTCCTTTGATGGAGACGACAGCTGCGGCTACACACACATTAACAGTCACAGGTCTCCTCCATCCTCCCCTGGGAGCTTCCTGTCTGACTACCTCCCTGGAGAAAACACTTCAAACTGCTTATAATGTATTCAGCTGTCGGCCACAGGCTGCAGATAGGTCACTAAGAGGTCTGCTAATCACAGGCGATCTCTCATCAAGTAGGATTTAGTGCTATGATATGTTTTAAAGCAGAGACTATGTTTTGATCTTGGAAAAGCTCGTTATGGAGCTGCATCCCAAATAAGTCACTTGGTTTCTGGTATGCAAGATGCTGTGAGGTGTAAAGACATGGAGCACCAGTAACAAATTTAAACAATCAATGAACAATCAAAGGGGATTGATTTTTGAGTGAGGCTTTGGGTGGGTCATTCACACTGTTTTATAATGGAAGGAGAGAGAATCATGAGCTTGAATTGCCTTCTTTTTAGAATAGGTTCCAGATGTTTCGACATTTTTTAGACTTCTGGAAAAAAAAAAAAATTAAAAATATTGTAATGCAAGTAGTTTTACAGTGAAACCATATTAGTGTATTATTTTAAACATCTTTCATTACAATGCCCTTTGCTTTTGTATATGCTGTTCACAGAGGTGTCAAGTAACGAAGTACAAATACGTCTTTACTGTACTTGAGTACATTTTTTAGGTATCTATACTTTTCTCCATTACTTATTTTTCTTCCTACTTCTGACTTCTACTCGTTACATTTTCACACAAGTATCTGTACTTTCTATTCAAGTTGATTCTTTAACTTTTACCAGTGTTTTTAAACTGCAATATCTATATTTCTGCTCGAGTAACAAATGTGTGTACTTTTGACATCACTGGCTGTTCAGGATCAGGATAGTAGGTGGGATATAAGTAAG